CAAGTTAAGGGGTCAGAGAAGCTCAGGCGGCCTGACCTTGAAGAGTTGCTCGCGACACCATTGATTATCTCCGAAGAGCCTTTTCACCCTCAACTTTCAATTTATATTCGCAAATTTCATATTAGCTAGCACGAACCCCGAATATCTACTGTAGGTGTTTAGGCTTAACTTGACTTGTTTCGGCTTTATGGTGATTTGTGGATTTTAGCTCTCAAGGTGAAAAACGCGATTGTTCAAATTCTGGCAGCACTTTAAATTCACTATTTGGAAGCGATATGAAGTCAGATCTTTAGCAGAGACTGATGAAGTGTATTATTTTGTTCTGAGTATGAGAAAGCTGGCTTCTTTCACGCTGAAAGTCACGCTTTTTAGATATTAAGAAACACATTAAAATCTGGTAGGCGATGGTTTGTGGAATTCGTAGAGGTAATCTAACATGCTCACGAAAATACACCCAATCTACAGAGCAAACACCTTCAGTGACATTACGGTATGGGTAAGGTAAGAAAATGACAAGCTGAAACTGACTGAGACATCGATGGAGTAATTAGTATGCTGTTCAAGACAGCTATTTTTGATTCAGTCCTGACGTAACCGTCTAGCTTTCTTCATCACTTTACTCGATCGTAGTACCTATCTTCAGAGGTGCAAGCCGCATCCAGTTTGCTATAATCGTGATCCAGTTAAGGGCCCCATGATGAGCAGACTCCTTCGGCGCCTTTGCATTTAGAGCTATGGGGTGCTGCTTTTACATCTAAAAGTAGGTTATTTTTTGAACGAATTCGATTCCTGATCACGACCCCCTCCTCAGTCTTGCCACCAATACGACCTCCAGGTCAGGCACGCCTGACCACATGCTCAACCCTGATTACGATTATTTAAATGTTTGATGTTATGAAGTTTATTACCAGTTAATTGGAACGAAAATGTCGAACTTTACAAAGGCCAAAGGCTTACCTTGTCACCTTTTTTTTAGATTCAACGTGGAAAATGGGAAAAAAACAATAAATGGAAGAATGGAGGAATCAAAAGTGGCTACCAGCTTGGTTTGTGAGAAGCATTTGACAGCGAGTCATTCGCAGATGTGCAATATTGCATATTATGCACTCCAATCAATGAAGAGACTGATCTCGCTTCTATGAACAGACTGGAGTTCTAGAGTATGACTGAGATGATTCTGCGCATCCTTACTCGTACTAATAGAATGTGGTAACGTGATGTCCGTTCTTTGGATGCGTAAAGGAGCTGAGTTCTGATACTATTGAGTTCGTTGCTTCGAACCCAATGAACTCAATAGCTGGTGGGTTACTGGCATACTGATCTGCTCTGGATACGATGATTTGCCAACAAATCGAAAGGGCTTCAAATAACACAATCAAACCAATCAGACTTACAACTGTCAAGACAACGGCGTCAAAGAAGCTGAAGTCGAAGTTGGACGTTATTGCCACCCATGTGAGATAAGCAGCTATCAGACCAAGAGAAACGAAGAAAAACATCAAAGAGTACTAAAAAAACTCTATTAGTTCTGGCATACTCTTTTTTGATTTTGCAGAAATGACAAGCAAGCTTACCCTCATGCACTTCTGGTGGTGGTCCTAAATTCACAATTTGTGTTGTAATAAAAGATTTGGATAGCAACCCACATCTGTACCCGCTTCTAAGCGAAATGTTACTCTATTGGGGTTCGTCTGTTTTGGTTCTTCGCATATGTCACAAGAATTTGCACTGTCGTATACATCATCGATGTAATAAGAGCGTCCAAGGGTCCTAAACATCTTTCATAAGTTTACAGTCTTGGAATTTGCTATAGATGTATAAGTAATACAACTTATTGCCCGGCGTACCTGGAAACGGCT